ATAATTTATAATTCTCAAACATAAACAAACAAAATTTCAGAGAAAAAAACTAAAAAAAGCCAGTAAAAATTGTAAAATCTGAAAAATCTGAGATATCATGAAATGGTAGGAACAATATTTCAATGCTTTTCTATTCGTTGCACATAAATGGATTCATTTGACTTTTTCAATTTTTCACAATTTTTAATTTAATAAAAATTGATTAATATTATTAATTTTGATCGAAAAATATTGACTGCATTAGACTTGAAACAAAAAACTGATTAAATGATTGATGGTCTTTTATGTTGTTACCTTTTGTAATTCATTGAGTGTCTGAAAATTTTTGGAGGAACAGAATTTGCAAATAAGTGTTTGTTACTCGTTCATCTAAAATTTTCATATCGGCATATTTTTGTATGCAGAACTTATCCTTTAAAACGCAAACAAGTTTTTTGTTATATTAATATTTGAGTATGCAGAGTATTCAACAATTAATTTTGTGAGCCAACTTTGATGAATGTGTTAGTTACGAATAACTCATCCTTCAAAACCTCACAAAGGCAGGATCATCGGCAAGCAGTTCAATGAGCAGAGCCAGTATATCCGCCAGGTTAACTCACATTTCTTTGCTTCTTCGTTCATTCATTCCTTCACTCACTCACTCACTCACTCACTCACTCACTCACTCACTCACTCACTCACTCACTCACTCACTCACTCACTCACTCACTCACTCACTCACTCACTCACTCACTCACTCACTCACTCACTCACTCACTCACTCACTCACTCACTCACTCACTCACTCACTCACTCACTCACTCACTCATTCACTCATTCATTCACTCATTCATTCATTCATTCACTCATTCATTCATTCATTCACTCATTCATTTATTTGTTCATGCACTCATTTGCTCATTAGCCATTCATCCATCCACTCGTTCACTAACTCTTTGTTACCTTCCTATCTGTATGAATGCATTTATAAAATTGGAATGTGGCAACTGGACAGCAGCTCACGCAGACATCAGCATAAATAACTGACCGTTGACCATTGAGCAGATTGGACGCGGCCTCAGGTCACAGTCAGGCAGACCCTGTCGAACACCTAGTCAGGAAAATGTTCAACTTCAACATCAGGATCTACGACGACGTCCGCATGATTTTGTTCGTTCATAGTTTTTAAAAAAAAAATATTCAAATAAATAAAACATCACGATTTTTAAATAATGGCCGAATGCATGCTCATGTCATTTTTTTTGATTTTATGGCAAATTTTTGGCGGTTTTAAATTTTAATACTTTTTTTTTTACAGTAAAATATAAATTTGTTTAAATAGTTTCAAATTGATCGTCAGAAATTACATAAAACGATTCGAGATGAGGTACCGGAGGAAACAAAACAGGAAGCAAAACGTGACAGCAATTCGACGCAGCATCCAATCATCGAGGCCCAAAATTGGTTAGTAGGGTGGATGGGTATCCTCTAGAAGACGACTAGGCTAACTTCTCATTAACACGATAACAACCTGAAGAATGAAATCATTTTTATTTCAGGTGTGTTGAGTATGTTTCGGAAGAAAAAATCTTTCTAGGTACTGATGTTTTATTTTTCGTGGGAGATCGTAGACCATACTTCACATTTCAAGTCCATGGAATAAATATTTGTATACAAAGAAACTTTTTAATAAATAATCTAGCCATTTAATGCGTTGTCATTTTTCATCAAACAATACAACCAAATACACCAACATGTTGTACAAGTAACAAAATGATAAAATGGAAAAATGTGAAACCTTTAGAACTTTTAAATAGGGATAACTTTAAAAACTGCATGAGCTTTAACCGTTTTTAGTAGAACTTATTGTAGTGCTGGGTTACAAATACTAAGGCTTCTAGGGCAAAAAAATTGTGTTGCAAGCCGGAAAATCAACTTTCCGTGCCATCAAATCTGTTGCAGCCACACAGCACGACGACGTACAACATTTTTAATCTATCTATTTATCCCAATATTTTCTTATTAAACAAATTTTGTGTATAGGTAGGTTTAGAAATCTTTCTCAAAACTTTTAACAAATTGAGATATAGTAAGAAAAGCTATAAGAGGGAGATGCTGTAAGAAAAATTGGAAAAGACTATACGCGCAAACTCCATGCTACATGCTATGCTTATACTGCAATGTTTTGAGTAAAGCTACGGCACAGTAGCTCCCAAGGTGGTGCCATAATGTGCCAGTAATTTTAATATTTTTTTCC